TCAGTAAGAGACAGCGTTTCTTCAGGAGTAAGGGTGACTAGAGTGTGGTTGCCACTGTAGAAGCAATCAGGACCTCCGTACGGATTGTAACTGGTTGAACGAGAAATGAGAATACTTGACCAAAATATCATATTGACAATGAAAATGTTGGCATGCATTATGACAAAGAGGGCACCAACGTAGCCATTTTGAAGCTTGAAATTGTATATAGATACCTCATCATCTTCTTTTTTGACGAATGGGAACATCCTGTTAATGGTTGCCTTTGGTTTTATGATAAACAATCCAACAAAAACCATTGCTCCTGTAAAGAAGATAGAGCACACTATCATTGGAACAAACTGAACAAGAATGTAAGTTGTATAAGTAGTCATCTTTATCCCTCCTAGTGAAGACAGAACTGGTTTAAGAAGATCCTTTCTTTCCCTGGATTGTCCTGTTTTTAGTTGGTTTGGTGCTTTTATGTCGCTGGGGTTAGGAGAGGTCTCTCAAGTGTCATTAGTAGCTGACGGAAAGTAGAGAGGAGGTACCGGAAGCCAATCGAAGGGAAGGATCATAATGTACATATACATACCCTCATGGTCTTATGTACATACCATACAAGACATACACATAATGTACTTAATACACACACTATCCACTTGGCAGTGTAGTTTAGTTCTACCTCTTCTATTGTATCTGTATCTCTTTTGCTTTACCTTTTCACATGTGTCATTCCTTACCATTGTACATGTACATGTTTATGTGCATGTATGTCAATGTAGCTGTATAGTACATGTAGTATCTGCTGATAGTGTACATGTGTACATTGTAATGTAGTGTGTATAGTTAATGTGTAGTTGTATTATCTTTTATATTGCATTACATGTGTACATGTATCTTCATCTCTCTCTTCTTTCTTCTCCCTCTCCCTTTCTCTCTCTCTCTCTCTCTTCATTAATATTGTGGTTTTAAATTGGTCTATCTCTAGTTAATCTTTCATGGCCTCCATCATTTGAAATTCATACTCCTGTTTGTCTTGTTAGAGTGGGATGGTTTGTTATTGTAGAGGGAGTACCTTTTGGTTCTGCTTCTGTAAACTCCAGTTTTATTTTGGCTGCTAGTCCATTAGTTTGGTATGTAAAGCCATTCAGTGCAGTGTAGCTTATAATAATATATATGTTACTAATTATAGAATTTACTAGCATGTGTCATGCAATGGTGTTACTAAAAATAGCAAACTCTAGCCCACACTCAACACTCTGGAATAGCATTAACTTGTTGCTGATGCAGCATCATCATGCTGTACAATTAATATTTAAATGTTGATAAACCTCTAATCCAAACCTCAGAGGTATTGTGTTACTAATAATAGCAGTCTTGGTATCATGTAATTGTGTTACTAAAAATAGCAAGCTGATTACTCACTGCAATAGTATTGTTTGTGTGTTGTACTTGTGGTTGCTGTTCAATTAAGTGTTTAAATGTTACCGGTACTAAAACATTTTTTAAAAATATACTAAATTTAGCAATTTAAGATAACAATGTATTATAATCAGCAATTCAGCATCACTCACTCAGTTATTATTAATATCAGTTAATTGTTACGGAACGTTTTTATCTCAGAGAACTTGAGACTATAACTATTCCCTTTCCAATCATACCATATGATTCCATTCCAGTCACCAGCTTCAGTTGCATTAGTATAATAACGACCATTGAGATGAGATTGATGGCAAAGATTAAACCACCAGGCACCATTGTAGAGATCAGCACAATTCCAAAATTTGTCTTGATCATTATCATTATCTCTTGTAGAGAATTCCATTCCATTGTGATTGTGAGCATCACCATATAAGATATCAGTAATCAGTCCATCCCCAGCAGTACCAGAGTATCCTCCTACTGTTAGTATATATTCAGTACTACCATCACTAACA